CGGGAGGCGCAGGGGGGTGGGACAACAGACATCCCTTAGAGACAGAAAGCCAAGGACCTCCTGAAGAGACAGCCGGGGAAAACAGGGATGGAGGGAGGGAGGGAGGGGGCTGCCGGAGATGCTGTGCTTGACCCACCGTTCTTACCAGGGTCTTCATGGCCACTGACAAGAAGCAGGGTCTTGCGGGGTGGGGGTGGGGCAGCTTCGCCTCTGTGGAACGTCTTGTCTTGGTTCCTCCAGGACCTTAGGAAGCCAGCCAAGATTCCCTCTTTCAGAATGCATTTAGGCAGCATGCACACCCTCTCTCTGTCTCTCTGTCTCTGTGTGTGTGTGTGTGTGTGAGAGAGAGAGCGAGAGAGAGAGAGAGAGAGTGTTGGAAGGGAAGGCTATGTTGTTGCTTGGTCTGAAAGTGCTCCTCCTCTCAAGAGATGCATTGTACAATATAAGTCAAGAAGGCACCAAATTGTACTGTTTACACAGTTCCATTTTAGCTAAAATTATCCTGCAAGTTGCTTAAAAATGGTAAGATCAGGGCTATTTCTGGGCAGGAACGCACAGGAACGGCGTTCCGGCTGGCTCCTGAGTTGGCCCCGCCCAGCAGGAACTCATTAGCAGAATAGGCCACACCCAACAGCAGGAACTCATCAGGATTGGCTACACTAGGGGTGTGTGGCCTAACATGCAAAGGAGTTCCTGCTCCAAAAAAAGGCCCTGGGTTTTGACAACAAGCAAGGTAAACAGAATAAGAAGCAAAAGGTGGGTGTGGCTGGATGAGCACACTTCTGGTAACACCGGGGTGTGGCCTAATATGCTAATGAGCTGCGCTGTCATAAGTGTGGCCTAATATGCTAATGAGTTCCTGCTGTTGGGTGTGGCCAATTATGCTAATGAGTGCCTGCTGGGCTTTTTCTACAAAAAAAGCCCTGGGTAAGATAACGGTATGAATGCTAAGATCACAAGGTAGCACTGTCCTGTTTAGGTGCCAAAATATTTATGTACCTTCTATTTGATTCAAGGAGCAATGTCAAAATAAGCATGCACTTTGTTATTAGCGAACTGAGAGAGTTCATGTCTATGGCTGTGATCCCACCTTGTGACACTTGTCTTTATGAATAAACAAACTTCAAAAGATGCAGTGTTTGAAACAGTAATTAAGCATGTAGAACAACAATCAACATGTAATAATTCTGGCCTGCTGTATTTGAGCAGACCAGGGTCTCCAGTCTTTCTGACGTCTTTCCAAGTCTGGGTCCAGCCAGGCACCTTTGAGACCAACAAAGGGTAACTCTGGGCATATGCTGCTGTGTGCACACAAAAGCCCACCCCCAGAATTCAGCTTTGCTGGTCTTCAAGGTGCCCGGCTGGACCCAGATTTTGTTCTGCTGCCTCAGACCATCACAGCCACCAGGGGTCATTTTGTAGAAAAAGAGGTGCAGGAGCTCATTAGCACAACTCATTAGCATGACTCATTTGCATATGCCACGCCCCCTGACATCACTGGGCATGTGTCAGAAGGCAACACCCACTGTTCACATGGATGTTTTGGGATTGCCAGGAATTTGGGGGGGGGGAACGTGCAGATCTGTCCTCACAGAGGAGGGAGAGCTCGTACCTGAATAAAACTTGGTCTTAAAGGTGCCACTGGACTGTTTTGGGCTGGGGGGCTGGGGGGGGCTCTGCAGATTACCTGGCTGCTTCTTGCTCTGACTGAGGGCTGCTGGGAGCAGGGGGCGGGGCTTGTTGCATGTCCCCGCCCCCTGGGCTCTTTACTGCCGGAGCTCCGCTCCCGTGCACTCCCGCAGGAAATGACCCCTGATGGCCACTCACCTGAATCAGACTTCTTTCCAGCCAGTCCCTTTAAGATGCATCGACTTGCAGCTCTGCTCTGGGCTGGGATGCCGTCCGATCTTGACAGGAGTTCTGGTAGCCCTAGAATATTAATATGTGGGTTATAGAGTCCTTCTGAGGCGGGAATGCCTCTACCTGCAACTCTGGGCCCTCCGATAACTCTGGGAAGACGGCACCTTTCTTTCCTTATAAGGAATACCCCAACCCTTTAGCGCCCACTAGTGGATTCAGGGTCACACTCTCACATATCCCCGTGGGCACTGCTGCATCAATTGGCTCAGCAGTGTAACTAGGCGGGACATGTTCAGCT